GGTTGGTTTCCTGGGCAGGTTGCTGCAGGTTGTGGGTGAGAATTCTATTCATATATATATTCTGTCATCCGTTTGTATATTCAGTCTCTCAGCACTCACCATCTGTCCAATGTGATGCATATTTGTTTTTCTAGTTATTGCCCGTCTCAGGAGAAAAAGAAAGCTTCGTGAAGGCAGGGATCTTGTTGCTACTGCGACTGCAGCTCCTCAAACTGTACCAGGCACAAGGTGGTTGCTCAATAAATATGTATTGAATGAGGGAATGACGGTACCTGTTCCTTCCTCTATGTAAGTTTCTAGAAATAGAACCTTCTGCTCTTTTTCTCTCTTTATGGGCCAGCAGTTTGGACAAGGCCAACCACCCACTGAGGAAACTTGGAGAAGAGGTCCATATGGAGAACCCTGGGATTTGGATTTAGGGGACCAAACTGATATGTTTGTAGGAGCGAGGCAGCTGAAAGAACGAACCAGCCTGGTGGGTGGGGTTGACAGAACATGGAGTCTCTGTAGAAAGATGGCCGTCTTGACTCGGCACTTACCAATTTTTTTTTTTTTTTGTGTGGTACGCGGGCCTCTCACTGTTGTGGCCTCTCCCGTTGCGGGGCACAGGCTCCGGATGCGCAGGCTCAGCGGTCATGGCTCACGGGCCCAGCCGCTCCACGGCACGTGGGAACCTCCCGGACCCGTGTCCCCTGCATCGGCAGGCAGACTCCCAACCACTGCGCCACCAGGGAAGCCCGGCCCTTTCCAATTTTTAACATGTCAGAATGTGGGCCTCCTGTTTACAGAACATATGAGTCATCGAAAGAATCTGACACCCTGGAGTTTTATGTAAAAAATACTTTCAATATTTAAATATTAGCCACTCTTTGGACTTCCCTGGGGGTCCAGTGGGTAAGACTCCACATTTCCACTTTGGAGGGCATGGGTTCAACCCCTGCTGGGGAAAGTTCTGAATGTGGTGTGGCACGGACAAAAAAATATATATTAGCCACTAATAAAATATGATGTATTGGGGTAGGGAGGAGAAAGGTGGGAAAAACAAAATGTTTTTGTGGGCTGCTTTCAGGCCTGAGGCAGCAGGCTTGGCCTCTTGTCGAGGTTGTCTCCTGAGGTCCTCTCTGGAAGTCTCTGGGTCTCCTCTCCCTGTTTTGTCTGACCTTCCCTATGATGGAGGCTGGAGGTTAAGGGGAAGGCAGTTGCTGTGAACCCCCAAGCTCCAGCCATTGGATACCACAAACTGGGTCTCAGCGTATCAGTCGCCTTCGAATGATTTTCTTCATTAGGAGTCCTCTGTAGACGTGAGGAGGGTGACTGCATGAGGCCGTTTTGGCTTTGAGCTGATTGTAAGTGTAGCCGCAGGAGCCATCTTTCTGATTAGAACTGAGGTTCTGAAGCCAGATGAGTTAATAATGCGGTGATGTGATGGGGAGAAGCAGGGACTCCGGTCTTGTTTATGTTCAGAGAAGTTTTAGGTGCTTTCACTAAAAAAAAAAAAAAAAAAAAAAAAGTGATTTCTCAAAACTTTAAATCATTGATTGGTACCTGGAGTAATTAAGCTCATTTTCCCAGAGTATAACCCTTTAGGAAATCCTTTTCCTAACTACCATTCATTACAGTTTGCAAAGGATTTAAAGGGAAGGATTCTGGGCAATGCTGATGATAAAACGGGAGTGGAAAGGGAACGCGGAAGTTATTGGTTGTTATTTTCACAGCTACCCCTTAAGAGCCCAACAAAAATTATACTCAAAGTGGATTTTTTTTCCCCTCCAATTCCACAAAAACGTCAAAATGCAAACCAGCTAGGTTGATGTTATTTAAGAAGCTATTATCCTTAGTGAAATCTAAGCACACCAGAAACGCTATCCAGCTTCTCCGGGAATGGGAGATAAATGGTATTTGGGTAAGGATAACATTTTGCCAAATTTTGTGGTGGTAGCAGACGCCACAGTTATTTGAAGTTGCTTAAAACTTTATTCTCCCTAGCTCTGATTGAGCTAATTAGAACCCACAGGGAATAATGTGGGTAATGGTGGGAACGGGGAAGTAGAAATATGCAATGCAATTAGCTCCTTTTTTTCTGTGTGATGCAACCTGGGACCTCGTGAGCTTGCAAAGACTTGGAACAATAGGATCCATTGATACTGAAGCTGCTAGCGAGTCCATAATTATGATATAATATCTTGCCAGCCTCTTACAGGCACGGAGGTAGAATGGAATATGAGTAAATAAAATCCAGCAATTTGCTCTATCCATAATTCTTTATATCAATAGCATATTTTCTTTGTTTTTTTGTGGTATGCGGGCCTCTCACTGTTGTGGTCTCTCCCGTTGTGGAGCAACAGGCTCTGGACACGCAGGCTCAGCGGCCATGGCTCACGGGCCCAGCCGCTCTGCGGCATGTGGGATCTTCCTGGACCGGGGCACAAACCCGTGTCCCCTGCATCGGCAGGCGGACTGTCAACCACTGCGCCACCAGGGAAACCTGTGTTCTTTTTTTTTTTCCCCAAAGAAGATAGAAACTTAGTTGATAGAAACTTAGTTGAACATTTTGTGTCCCATCGGAGGACTTCATCTCCATGGGAATAAATTTGGTTTGCAATCAGTTAAATGAGAGGTTTCCTTGGTGTTATTACAAGTTGAAGAAAGCTATTCCACAACACCCTCTTCCTACCATCAGCAGATGTCCTTGACTTTGCTTGCTACTGTAGTGTAAACTCATGCCAGGAGAAAACTTGAATTTAGTCATTTATACCTTAATTTGTTTGGACTGTACTCAGGCTGGGCCGACCTCGTGGTCAGGGACCTGTGAAGTCTCTTATAGTTGCATTTAAAGCTAGCACGATGCAATATAAAGATGAACAAGGTTTTTGCTAATAATTTAAATTTAGGTTTTTCTTTATTTAGAATGACATTAAATAGCAAATAAAAGAAAGCGTGACAGGTTAAGAGAGAGAGCACAGAACAAAGGAGAAAATTTTATATTTTAGTACCTTTAACATCACGTTTTTTCCTGCTTTTTGAACAAGGGGGGTTAATTTGCATTTTGCACTGTGCCGCATAAATTATGTAACTGGTGCTATACCCAGGCACAGATAAATGTAATTCAGAGATTCAGTCACTCATTCAGCAATTGTTTTCTGAACATGAACTTGGTACACCACAGTGCCAGGTATAGGAGATGTACAAACAAAACAAAACAAACAAACAGAAAACCCCAAACCAAAATGAAGAGCTGGTTTCTGCCACCTGGGCCTTAGTACCTGCTTTTGAGAGAAATACCTGCAGCCAGGGCTTGTAGGTAATTATGGAATCTTGAGGCCCAGATCTGGGGCCAGGAGTGAATTCTGAGATTCTCCTGGTGTTGGGAGGAGTCTGGAAAGAATTTGTAGAGGTGTTATTTCAGATTGTATCTGAGTGTTCAAACTTGTAAGATATTTTAGAACCACTCTTTTTTGTTAAGACAAGACCAAATAATTAGAACTAGCGACACAGAGATTGGAGGCTTTCTCATCTTCTACTCCAAGGTCATAAATTATGAGAGAGGCCCTGCAGTTATCTTTAATCAGATCTGAGAGAGTGACTGTATTCTGCTAGTGACTGTCTAAAAGCAGGACTGAAACCTAGGTCACCTGATTTCAAATTATTTTCCACTTCATTCCAATTATCTACTCTATTGTAATCCTTAATTTGACAGCTGTTCTTACTTTCCTGTTACTAATATTAAGAAATTAGGAAGTGATATAGCATTTTTCAGAAGAGTTGATTTTATTTTTTCTTCCTATCAAAACTTATGTAAGGGGTCTTCTAAACCAAAAATATTTCCGATGCACTTAAATTATAATTTGTTTTATAAAAACCAAATTCTCCCTAACCACTGTCACCCTGAGGGAGGAAGGTCCATGTTCTGGAGCCAGCCTTCTGGTGTGGAAGAGCACAGGCTTTGCAGTCAGGAGTGGGAGGAATCTGAGTCTGCCTTTGAAGAGCCATATGCCTTTGGAACCGTGATCAGCCTGCTTGAGCCTCCACTTCCTCATCTGGAGAATGGGCACAGTAATAACTGCTTGGTAGTGATGTTGGAGGGTTTAATGAAATGAGGTGGTAGAGTACCGTACAGACACTGGGTGCTTGGTGAATATTGCTTCCTTCTCTTGAAAGACAAAACATTTCCCCTTCTCCCCAGCTCTTTTAAGGCTTCTGCCTTGTGAAATTGCTCATTTTATATCAATGGCCTATTTTATCTGTGTTTGAACTTGAGAAATTTCTATGACTTTTAACTTTCTCTTAATATATTGGTAAAGAGAGAAAAATGTGACTCTTCAATTTCAATGTTTTCCTTCTGTGTTCCCTTTCTATCCCAATGGTGAAATCCCAGAATACTAAGAATTTTAGGGGAGGTATCAGAGTCATGGAGTTGAATAATTTTAAAATGATAAGGCACTTTGGGGATAATCATAATATATAGCTGTCATTTAAGAAGGCCTCTGGGCTAGGTTGTATTCTGTGCACTTCACAGGTATTAATTTGGTTAAATCTCACAAAGAGTCTCTGAGGAAGTGTGTTTTTGTTTCCATCTCACAGATAAGGAAACAGAAGCAACGAGTTAAGTAACTCATCCAAGGTCACTTGGGCTGGCCCAGGACCCGTACCCTAACCATTATGCTAAACTACCTTAATTATGAGGCATTCCAGACCCCTGATTTTACAGGTGGTTGAGATCTGCAAAGAATAACTGACTTGCCCAATGTCATCCAGCTGCCTAAATGCAGGGGCAGGCCTGGAACCCCGGGATACTGACCCACCCCCCCCGCCCCACCCCACCCAGTGCAAGGTTCTCTCCACTCCCCCCAGAATTACTGGCAGGACGGGCTCACAAGAGGCTCAAACTGGGAACCAGCAAAGCTAGATAATAATATTTCTATTCCTGTGCCTTTCATTAAGGAGGCATGATTTTTGTAATTCTTTCCTTTAACAGTAATTGCTCTGTTTTTGTCTTTCAGGAACCTGGGCAGGAGGAGATAAGCCAATATATCTGCCTGTTGAGCCTACAGTTAAAAATAATTATAGAGAACATGGTGGTGCTTCAGAAACTGTCAGGTGATGTGACATTTTTCAAATCATACTTTTTTACATTATTCAGTTCTAGTCTGGAGGAATTACCTTCGGGTAGAAAGAAGAAAAGAGTGGGAAAAGAAAAGTCAAACATTCACTTGTTTCTTTTGTGGAAAATACCTGACCATTATTATAAGAAGGTAGATGCAGATAAAATTGGATATACAGGTTACTTATTACTTACAAGTAACTTATTACAATAAGTCAAAATTACTTACTGAGTATACGTACCCTTTTCCAAAAAGAATTTGGTGTGTACAACAAGATTAGTAAGCCGTTTCTGTGATTCAGCTCTAAGATGAAGGGAAAACAAAGAGGCCAGCTGTAAGGATCAGCGCTGTCCCTGTGGTTGAACAAAACCTTGTGTTTTGGTGGATCAAGGCCGCCATTCTTGTTCTCCAGAAAGGAAGGAACATAGCAATGGTGTCTACAGGAGGCAAAGTTTGTTTGTTTGTTTATTTATCGGAGTATAGTTGCCTTATACTCTTGTGTTAGTTTCTGCTGTGCAGCAAAGCGAATCAGCCACACGTGTACATATATCCCCTCTTCCTTGGATTTGCTTCCCATTTAGGTCACCACAGAGCATTGAGTAGAGTTCCATGTGCTATACAGTAGGTTCTCATTGGTTATCTGTTTTATACATAGTAGTGTATATATGTCAATCCCAGTCTCCCAATTCATCCCACCCCCCTCTTCTCCTCTTGGTATCCATACATTTGTTCTCTACATCTGTGTCTCTATTTCTGTTTTGCAAATAAGTTCATCTGTACCGTTTTTCTAGATTCCACATATATGTGATATTATATGATATTTGTTTTTTTCTTTCTGACTTACTTCACTCTGTATGACAGTCTCTAAGTCCATCCATGTCTGTGCAAATGGCACAGTTTCGTTCCTTTTTATGGCTGAGTAATATTCCATTGTATATATGTGCCACATCTTCTTTATCCATTCATCTACTGATGGACACTTAGGTTGCTTACATGTCCTGGCTATTGTAAATAGAGCTGCAATGAACATTGTGGTACATGACTCTTTTTGAATTATGGTTTTCTCAGGGTATATGCTCAGTAGTGGGATTGCTGGATCATATGGTAATTCTATTTGTAGTTTTTTAAGGAACCTCCATACTGTTCTCCATAGTGGCTATACCAATTTACATTCCCACCAACAGTGTAGGAGTGTTCCCTTTTCTCCACACCCTCAAACAAAGTTTATTTTAATGAAATTCAAAGAGCAGTTTCTCCTGAAGAGTGTGGTATAGGACATATTAACCAGTAACAGAACAGCCACTGTATTAGTAGTCAGGGTTCTCCAGAGAAAGAGAACCAGTAGGAGATCTCTCTGTCTCTGTCTCTGTTTCTATCAAGAAATTTATTGTAAAGAATTGGCTCATGTAATTCTGGAGGCTGACAAATCCCAAGACCTGCAGTCAGCAAGCTGGAGGCCGAGGAGAGCCGGTGATATAGTTCCAGTCTGAGTCTGAAGGCCTGACAACCAGGAGAGCTGATGGTGTAAGTTCTAGTCTAAGCCCCAAATCAGGAGAAGACCTACGTCCCAGCTCAGTGTCAGGCAGAGAGGGAATTCTCCATTACTCAGTCTTTTTGTTCTATTCAGGCCTCCAGTCGATTGGGTGAGGCTCTCCCACACTGGGGAGGGTGGTCTGCCTTACTCAGTTTCCTGATGTAAATGTCAGCCTCATCTGGGGACACCCTCACAGACACACCCAGAAGAATGTTTCACCAAATATCTGGCCACCTTGTGGCCCAGCCAAGTTGACCCCTAAAATCAACCATCACAATCCTCCCCTTTTTCACACATAATCTTCTGCAGTTCTCTAATGCATGACACAGGTGAGAATCAGGATTTTGTACTAGCATAAATCTATATTACATCAAGAGTTCAAGTTTACAACTGACTTATAATAAACAGTCAATGAGGGAAAATGAGACTGTTTTGGTGAACACAAAAATAGGCAATCAGGGGTTATGGATGGCAGTTGCAACCTTACATCGGCCTCAGTTCCAAATGTCTGCATTGCGATTTGATTGCATAATATTGAGACAAATTCACAGATAATTAGCTATACTATATGACATTCATTTTTTTTGTAGCTTGCCTTGATATAATACATTTCCATTAAACTCATTTGGAAGCTGGAAAGAGGAACAGTAGGAAATATTTGTTTTAATGTTAAAGCGGTGATGACATTGGCCCATGTTTGACTTAGAAGAGTCAGAGAAGAGCACTAAGGACTGAGAACAAGCTGTAGAGACTCTACATTATTACTGGTTATGATGCAGCTCTTATGGTTGGGTCTGAATCTGAAGAGCTGAGCCTGGCCGGCCTGGTATTGCAGTGGCCTACATGTGGACTGCTGTCATCCTGTAGTTCCTCTTTTGTGATTTTATATCCACAGGTCTGGGTTTTTTTAGAGTGCAGTGTCAAACTACACACTTTCTGATGTATAACCTATTTACTGCTATTAGTAACTAATAGTTAAGTACTACCACTTCTGTGTGCTGGGTACATTTTTGAGTGGTGGTGCCTTCCCCCCGCCCCACACACACATTGGGTGGTTTAAACAACAGAAATTTGTCTTCTCACAGTTTTGGAGGCTAGAAGTCTGAGACCACGGTGTTCATTCTGAGGGCTGTGTGAGGGGACATGTTCCAGGCCTCCCTCTGTGGCTTGTAGATGGCCACTTTCTCCCTTTGTCTTCATGTTGTCTTTCTTCTGTATATGCCTGTGTTCGAATTTCCTCTTCTTATAAGGACACCAGTCATACTGGATTAGGGTCCCACCCCAATAATTCCATTTTAACTGATTACCTCTGTAAAGACCCTATCTCTAAACAAGGTCACATTCTGAGGTACTGGGGGTTAGGACTTCAACATATGAATTTTGGGGGGAAAAAATTCAACCCATACTATACCTGTATATAATTATATACCAAATAGATATAACTATACCTGTGTATATCTGTATATACCTGTATGTACAGGTATAGTTATATATGTGTGTGTGTATACTATTTTTGCAGCTGTTCGAAGTTTGTATATTTTCCGTACTGCAGAGTTTACACAAAATTGAAGAAGAATGTTAATATTCAAGTTTTATTATCCTGTGTTTAGAAGTTGTTGTGTTTTGCAGATATTGGTATTAACAGACCAAATATTCCCAACAATAAATATTCCCAATAACAATATTCCCAACGATAACAACAACAAAAAATATATATATACACACAGGTATAGTTACATGCATGTATATATGTATAGTATATACACAATATGTATATATATGTGTTAGTGCATGTGTGTGTACATATATATATATATATATATATATAAAGGCATACCTCAGAGATATTGTGGGTTTGGTTCCAGACCACCACAATAAAGCAAATATTGCAATAAAGTGAGTCACACCAATTTTTTGATTGTCCAGGGCATGTAAGTTATGTTCAACACTATACTGTAGTCTAAGTGTACAATAGCATTATATCTAAAAAAACTAGGTACACACCATAATTAAACAATACGTTATTGCTAAAAAATGCTAACCATCATCTGAGCCTTCAGTGAGTCATAATCTTTTTGCAATAGTAACATCAAAGATCACTGATCACAGATCATAACAGAAATCATAATCATGAAAACGTTTGAAATATTGCAAGAATTACCGAAACATGACACAGGGATGCAAAGTGAGGAAATGCTGTTAGAAAAGTGGTGCTGATAGACTTCCTTGAGGCAGGGTTGCCATAAATCTTCAATCTGTAAAAAATTCAGTACCTGTGAAGTCCCATAAATTGAGGTCTGCCTGTATACACATATATATGTGTAATACATATACGTACACACACACTCATTTAATCCTTACAGGTAGGTACTGTGATTATTACCCTTTTAAATATGAGGAAACTGAGGCACAAAGCTCAGTGCCCCACAACTACCAAGTTCAGGAGCTGAGATTTGAACTCAGCCCCTGGCCCCTGAGACTGTGTGCAGATCACACAACAGGGAGTTTTCCTGGCAGTACAAGGTAACATGTTGATGGACTGCAAAGGGTTAACATTAGGGATTTAGGCTCTTAAGTTTTTAAAAACTAGTTTACTGAATTGTGAAAAGATGTAGAAATGATACCTGAAAGGCAATTCTGCAGCCCTCCAGAAGCGGCATTTTGTTTGGAAAACCTCGTGTACTTGAGATGCTTATTTGAAGTCGGTGAAGATTTATCCCAACCAGTAAGTAAGCGTCCTGAGGCATCTGGGCTGGGCTTCTGCTTCCCTCCCCTGGTCTGCCAGTGGCCTGTGTGCTCAGGTTCAGATGGCTGTCTTGCACATGCACAACCCTAAGTACTCCTGACAGTCAGAGCCAGTATGCAGTTATGACTGACCCAAAGTGTGAACATCCCACATGGAGGGACATGGTGAGCGGGGTTATGGGATGAGATCACCAGCCCCAGGTGTGGGATCATGAACTGAGGCTCGCTCATGGGCTTCCCTCTCCACCTCTTCCATCAGAGGTGGGTGGCTTGTCCCTCAAAAGGCCATCAGGGTGGCATGGCAGAAAGAGCAAACCACTAAGGGATCTGACACTTTGGGCCATCATCTGCTTCCCCGTTGTCTCTCTGACCTAGGACAAACTATGTAACCTCTCTTTTCTTCGGTTTCCTCATGTGCAAAGTGATCCTTGTTGACTAAATCATCTTTCTGTTGATGGGTCTTTGTGGAGGGCCTTCCATGTGGTAGACACCATGGGGCACAGAAGTCTGAAACACAAGGGGTCTGGTGGTTAAGAGCTTGGTCTCTGACAGCTCTCATGAATTCAGATCTCAGCACAGCAGCTGATGAGCTGCTACCTTGGGAAGTTAGTCTGTCTCTCTCTCTCTGTGCCTCAGTTTCCTCATCTGTAAAATGGGAATCATAAAAGTAATGACCATTTACCAAGTCAGTGTGTGTAAAGATTTAGAGCTAAGAT